AGCTCTAGCATTGAGGATGGTTCTTTGGAAAAATGTGTGTTGGGGACCAGAGAGAGTGGGTTCACTAAAGAACAGTATCACTGAGAATTTGAGCTCAGAGTGGAATAACTAGTCACATATGCCTAACAGTGAGGAGTTTTCTTGTTTTTCTTCTTTACACCTTGAAAAATTACTCTGAAATAGTGACATAGGCTGGTAAATACACCAATGGAGTGGCATGGCATCCAATCATGAGAGGTTCTCTGTTTTCAGCAGAAGTTAAGTTGGCAACACCAGCAAAGTAAAGAAAATGGGACCATACTATGCATGAAGCCTGGGAACTACTTAGATTATGCAGTTTCTCCCTTCCCCTCTCTGTCTGCAATGATTGTAACTGGGACTAATGAAATCTTAAACAGGCAACACTCCAAGGGTTCATGAGCCTATAGTTGAAAAGGATAGTTGAATCAGAAGAAAACTTTTCTCTCATTGGTGTGTTAGGAACTCAAGCATTTGAATTGATATTAAAAAGTGACTACATTGGTTACAAATGTTAAGATTAGTGTGTACAATTTGATGTAGAATATAATCACCACTTTACAAACCAAACAAAAGCCCATATAAAAAAAAAAAAGGCCGGGCAAGGTGGCACAAGCCTATAATCTCAGCACTTTGGGAGGCCGAGGCAAGTGGATTGCCTGAGCTTGCAGGTTTGAGACCAGCCTGGGCAACATGCTGAGACTTCATCTCTACAATAAATCTGAAAATTTACTAGGCGTGGTAGCGTGTGCCTGTAGTTCCAGCTACTTGGAAGGCTGAGGCAGAAGGATCACCTGAGCCCATCAGGTTGAGGCTGCCATGGCTGGGAGCATGCCACTGCACTCCAACCTGGGCAACAGAGTGAGACTCCAACTCAAAAAAAAAAAAAAAAAGAAAGAAAGAAAAAGTATCAAAAATGTTTCAATATATATTATACTATTTGGCTCTAGGCAATGTGATTGTGTGTACCTTCTTCTTCCATTTGCCTTTCTATTATAAAATAGTTCTATGATAAACATGAATAATTTATAATGGGAAAAAAATCTTAATTTTTTGAGTGCAGCATGCCATTTAAAATCAGTACTTTAATGACTAAATTATGATTTTCTGAGACAAAGTTAATCCTAAAATATTAATGATATTAATATTTAAATACCTATGCATTAGGCATATCACAAAGAAAACATTCTGAAAGTAAAACATGATATAATATGAGAATCTTGATAATTGCTTGTCAAATTCTGCATTACTTATATAGAGGATGCCAAAAAATGTACACACATTTTAAGAAAGGAAAAACCTGTATTAAAATTGTAATAATCAACATATATCCATAACAAAAGATGAATACAAGTCACGTGGGACTTCTGTAATTAAAGAGGTGCTCAGAGTAGTTACCATCAGCATCCAGACATTTCTGATTACAGCTCTTCTTGAATGACAAGCATGCTTCCACCATTTTCTTGGACTGTTCTGCCTGTCACATCATGATGCTAGCATTTATATGATTAATGCCATCCTTTGAGTGAACATCATACTGCACATTGCTACCGTCATTCAATTTCGAAAAGTAATACATAGATAACATCTCTTAAAATATGTATACTCTTCTGTGTGTATACATTTTTTGGCACCCCCGGTGTTATTTAATACAAAAATAAGGTAGCATGCACATTTTATTTTCCTTTTTAATTTTTTCATTTTTATTTGCTTATTTATTTCATAGCGATGGGATCTCACTCTGTTGCCCATGCTAGGGTGTAGTGGTGTGATCACCACTGAACTCCTGGATTCAAGCTATCGTCTCCTTTCAGCCTCCATAGTAGCTGGGAATGTAAGTGCACACCACCACACCTAGCTAATTTTTCAGTTGTTGTAGACACAAGTTCTCACTGTATTGTCCAGGTAGTTTTAATCTGATTGATTCTCTAACTCTTGGCTTCAAGTGACTCCTGCCTTGGCCTTTCAAAATGCTGGAATTATAGGCATGAGCCACTGAGTCTGGCAACATGTATTTCTTAATCGGTATCCTCAGAGAGCTTATTACTGTCTGGATGAGTTCCAAGCAAAATCTGATCATTTTAAAATAAACAAAAAGTTTAAAATAACAGTTTACTATGTCTTACGAAATGCTTACTATGTCGACATACTGTCTTTTGTGGAGCCTGATCATTGCCAGACAATAGTAATTGTCAACTTTGCTAATAGTACATATAAAATAAATAGTTTAGTTACAGAGCTGTTAACAGCTGGGAGACACATGTATATAGATTCTTTAAGTTAAATAAAATGTGTCTATTATCGCATTAAAGTCTAAGTTTGAACATTATATCACTAAGAACGCTTTTGATTTAAGTGACAGAAAGCAGTGACTCAAAGAGCTTAAGCAAAAAAAAAATTTGTTCTCTGTAAATTAAAAATCTGAGAATATATATATCTATATGTTTTTCTTGGACCGAATAGAACTCAGTCTCTCTTCTTTTCTATCCGCCTTCCTCTGTGCCAACTCTATTCTCTGATATGCTTGTCCCTCATGCTGGCAATATAGCTGTGTCTTCATAGCTCCAAGTTCAAGAAAACAGGAAACTTTTCTCCCCCCATGAATATGCATAGGAGCCTAGGGCCTGATTCTCACTCTAAATCTATCACAAACCCATCATCGAATAGATCATGGAACCAGAAAGAAGATGTACTGTACAATGCAGATTAGCCTAAATTATGTCATGATAGCAAAATCCCACAATCCCAAGTACTTATAGCAACAATCTGCATCTCATACATACTGTGTGACCATTAAAAGTAGACTGCTTTTTGGTTGTCCTCACTCCAGGACTTTGGCTGACAGAGACCACTGTCTAGTTACTGTCATGATGGCAGAAGAAAGACTTTTGGATAGACTCATATTAACAATTAAATGTGTGGCCTCAAAGTGACTCATACTTCTTCAAATCATGGTTCATTAGCCAGAACTAGTTACATGGTCCTACTCAACCACAGCGGCCAGAAAGTGCAATCCTATTATGTATTCAGAACAAAAGAAAGTTGGATTTTTTGGTGAACAGCATTAGTAAATGCCAAATGCACTTTTTGTCATAGGTTATATGCCTACCTGATCCTGGGAGTAGGGACAGCATCACCACACTTGGGAGTCTGTGGGTCCACAGAGAAAATTTAGCCTGTGGTCAGGAAAAAAGTGAATGGTTACTATCAGGAGAAAAAAGAATTACTGTTAAGTCAGTTTCTAGTAAATGACTAAAGTTCTGGATTCAGTATGAGTATATCTTCCTGTGTGAATAAATGTTTAACTTCCAAGGGCTACAAAATTTACCGTTATCTGTGGTTCTAACCCAACAGCCGAAAACTAAACATTATTGTTTTCCCCTATGCTTCTGATTTTAATCTGACTGATTCTCTAAAGTAACTAGTATAGCTTAAGAAGTTTTCAGAGTAGACGTTTTAAATCTAATTCAGTTTCTAATTTGAATCTACAGGTCATAGGATGGATCAATCGGTGAAAATAGAGTATAACTCTGGATCTAGAATGGATCTGTCCCCTTGTGGGTTGTAGCATCATTAGGTCTTGTATTTTTTCTCTCCCAAGATGTATCAGGGACTTTTCTTCCTTTAGTTGTAAGGAAGATATCACGTTAACGAATTTTAAGTTTATTGTGAGGCTACTATAGTTCATATCTGTTTTTCCATCTCTAGGACTCCATGGATTATTTCATCTTGATTTTTCTCATTTTCTCTCTTAGCATCTGTTTATCCTTTCTGAATAATTTTTCTGTTTACTAATGTTTATAGCAGGATACCACAGCAAAAGGACAGTGACAAGTTACAGTGTCTGGGCATCTTAGTCAATTTCCAGAGAAAGAATCAAATTGACTGGCCATTAGAAATTGACCTGCTGTTAGTCACATCAGCTCTGGTGGGGGGAAACTATTACATTGCACATATAATTGCCTCTTTCGGGGCCTTTGGGTGAAGCGGGTTACACAAGAAGGAAAACTGTACAAGAAAGTTAACCGGCTGTGTCTGCAGTAGGAAGAGGTAGGATGAGGATATTAATCACTACGATTATAAATACTCTACAAATGTTAACTCATTTAATCCTATGATGCAGGCACGGTTAGTATTTTCATATTATAGATAAGAATACCAAGATACAGAGAAACCAAATAACTTGCTCATGGCCATGAAATTTATAAAAGGCAGAACCATTCAGGGTTGGAACTTGAGCAGTTTTGTTCCAGGGTTTTGAGTGTTATGCAATGCAACTACTCTTTGCTGTTCTAAAGTATCTGGATTTATATTAGCTAGTTTACTAATGTTTTAAGGTACACTCAAGCTTTTTTGCCAACCGTAAAATGCTTCTCGCTCTCTAAACCTCATATCAAATATCAATATTTTCACTTTGCAAACTTCCCAAATCCTTTGCTTTTGCTCCTAAACCACTCTGTACATTTTTTAAATTACCACACAGATCACCTTGTACTGTGATCTGCTAATAATATGATATGACGTGTAGGGCAAGGCTGTATAGTTCTAATCTTTGTATACCTGATACAAGCATACTTTCTGGCACATGGTATATACTTAGTGAGTTGTTATTTATTTTTTAATTTTTGAGTTGGAGTCTCACTCTGTCGCCCAGAGTGGAGTGCAGTGGCTGCTCCGGCCACTGCAGCCTCGACCTGCAGGGCTCCGGCAATCCTTCTCCCTCAGCCTTCCAAGTAGCCAGAGCTACAGGCACGTGCTACCACACCTGACTAATTTTTGATTTATTGTAGAGATAAGGTCTCACCAAGTTGCCCAGGTGGGTCTTGAATTCACTCGCCTCAGCCTCCCAAAGTGCTGGGATTACAGGCTGAGCCACCAAGCCTGGCCATTATTGGATTATTTACCAATGAAAGAATGAATGCATTGAATATGATTTATGCTATGTAAAATTTACTAACAATTCTCCTGTTATCCTCATATAGGACAAAAAGTGCCTCCATAAGAAAACCTGGGAAAAATGCCTGTAAATCTTGGAAATTACTGGGATTCAGAAGCCGAGACAGTGGTTGGTTTGGGCTTGACGATGTAGTCGTGAGAACCATGCAGAGTGGCTTGATAGCATTTGAATTGAATGAACATTTAGAGAGGTAATACAATAGGAAACAATTAGAGTTGATGGTCTTCTCTCCTGGTGGTCATAATTGATGCTTACAGAAATGGAATCGGAGGATTACATTTTTATTTTTCAAATAGGAATATGAATCATTCTTTAGGGTATGCTTAAAATACAAACCAGAATTGACATGAATATGCTATCTGTAATTTCATTCTTGAAAGTTTAACAAATGCTTTTGGAAACCACTTATAACTTAGACTTATTTTTACAGGTTTCTTCCAATTCCAAAATAGTATTAAAATAGCTCCTTTATTTCTGAAATTCCATGGAGATAGTAATTAACTGTTCCTATTATGCTTATCTCACAACTAGGTATATATAAACTGAATTTGTTACTTCAATACCCTGATTTTGCTTTCTAATTTCCATGTTTTTTACACAACTCTTATGAGAAGAGTTTTAGATAGAATTAAGGCATGTGAGGAGTAGTCACTCATAGAGGCAGGGCAATCATATGCCTAAAGAAGTCTTTATTTCATAATGGGCGGTCTTACATCTGTGATTGTCTTAAATCAAGTTCCCTAGAAACACAGTCTGAGATGAGAAGCAAGTGATTTTTTTCAGGCGGAATTCTCAGGTGGATCCTATAGCTCAAGGGAGGAAGATGAGAACATCTATGGTTTCAGCTGATGTCTTATTTTAGTCTGATGCCTTGAGGGAGCTCTGAAGTATGAGTACTAAGGAGGCTGGATTCATACCCACATCAGTCAGTCCTTCTCTATGAGCATGAAGCTTCTTTGAGTAGGAGACTCCTATGTGCCAATTCTCTGGAGAAGAATTGGGGAATGGATAGCCTAGCCCAGGGAAAGAGTTCTGTATTGTTTTTGCTAAGGCTGCCTTTAACAAAGTACTACAAACTGCTTGAAGAACAGAAATGCATTGTTTTACAGTTCTGGAGGCTATAAATCCAAAATCAAGGTGTTAGCAGGGTTAGTTCCTTCTGAGGACTATGAGGGAAGAATCTGTCCAGGCCTCTGCCTTGCTTGTAGATGGCCATCTTCATGCTCATATGGTTTTCTCTCTGGATACCATAGCCCTCTCTCTATGTCAAAATTTCTGTTTTTATAACAATAGTCATATTGGCTTAAGGACCTTCCTAATGACTTCATCTTAAGGTGATTACCTCTATAAAGAACCTGTCTCCAAATATGATGGTTGAATTCTCTCTGATTCATATTCTGAGGTACTAGGGGCTAATATTTCAACATATGAATGGAGGGGGCACAATTCAATCTGTGTCAGGGTCCATCATAACCCTTACCACAAAGAGACAGAGATGAGTATTTCAAGCCCCACTTAATTATGTATTCTGCATCCTATTGAGAGTAAATGGATTATCTTGATCATCTCTTTATTTTATATTTTGAAATAATCCTCTTTGGTAATTCTAATTAAGGTATAACTTAAAATATGCTGCTATATTTGGAGCTGAGCTGAAACCGTATAATTTCCTTGTTTTAAGAATGCATTTTAGAAGTTTGATTTGAGCTGGTTTCTTGACCACCAAGAGTGTCACAAAAGTCATTCGTGAATCTCACTTGTTGATCATCAGAAGACTTGAATTTAAAAGAAGTTTTGATGGCAATGACTCTTTTCTTGGGCATTATTGGTATCAGGAATATTTTTGAGGTTGCATTTTCCCCTCACTTTTGCCTCTTTCCTTCCATGTAGGTTCATCGTGCTTCACCTCTCTTCCACCATGAACAACAGCCATTTGCTAACTTTTGTGAAATCCTTAGAGGAGGTCATGCTTAACACCACTGCCTGCATAGTACTATCTCACCAAAAGGACAATCCACACAGAATAGCTATTTTAGTGGTGCCTTCCAAAGATTTAAACCAGGCGCTTAAAAACTTGCGTTTAGAAGGGTTTAGGGAACCTCCAGAGTCATCTCGCCATTTCCAAGTAAAAGAAGGAGAACAACTCCTTTTAAACTTTACTGGAAACATATTTGCTTCAAGTAAGTATAAAGAAATCTTTTTATATATTTTATGGGCTATAAGCCACATACTTCAGAAGGCGTTTGCTAAACTTGTATTACTAAGGAAACCTTCAGAGGATTGAGGAGAGACTTCAGAAAAAGATTCATTTACTTTTTACTTTTCAGTTTCTTTTTTTCTCTACTTAGGGGATACATGTTTCTTTATGAGCAGAATCGAAGTGATGTTTTTTAGAAATAGTCTTCTTCACAATTACTTTCCTAGTCCCAGCTAGAATAATCTCTTTCCTATACCAATGAAGTGAATTTCTAAGGCCTAAGAGTAGAAGCAGGGAAGCTTTTAAACACATCAATCATACTATGTTACTCTTCTAATTAAAACCTTATTGTTACTTCCCGTCCTACCTAAAATAACATTCGAACTCTTGAAGATGTTCTGCAAAGAATCTAACCTGAGGTCACTGGATGCTCAAGAGATGTGTGGCTAAAACTATATTCCAGTGTCATTGCCTTGTTTGTAATTTCATGTACTTTATTTCATATAGTTAAAAAACTACTCTTGGAAGCAATGGGTAGATTTCACCAAACTCCAAAGGGACTTATGGCAAAATGAAAGGGTGAAGAACAATCGATTCAGATGATATACCCTGCTTATCCCTCATCCTCATATTTATCTAGTTCAATTTTTGTTTCCATTATACATGTTATCACAATTTGAAACTAGTTACTTTTTGCTCATACAGTTATATCATGTTCTTCTCTGGAATAAAAAGTTTATGTGGGCAATGACCATGTCTGTCTCATGATATCACTTCTGAGCCTAGTATAGGACCTGGGATAGCAAAGGCTTTCAGTAAATGTGTAGCCTACGGAAGGAGCAGAATGGAGAAAATAAATGAAATAAATAAAAAATGATACATGATGATGTTGAGGAGAGCAAGCAGGGTGATGAAATATGAGAGGTAGCAGGAGAGAGGTGGCAGAAATGAGGGAATAGATGAGACAGAAGGGATAAAAGGAGTCAGATAAAGAGAAAGAAAAGAAAGAGAAAGAAGAAGAGCTGGAGCAAAAAAGCTCTGTGGGAAAAGAGATTTAAAAGTTTTTGTGGAATTGTCATTATGATGATTTCTATTTATTTATTTTTTTTTTTTTTATTTTTTGAGTTGGAGTCTCACTGTCACCCAGGTTGGAGTGCAATGTCACACTAACGGCCACCCCAGTGTTGACCTGCTGGGTTCCGGCGATCCTTCCACCTCAGCCTTCCAAGTAGCTGGAACTACAGGTGCACTCTACCACACCCGGCTAATTTTTGATTTATTGTAGAGACGAGGTCTTGCCAAGTTGCCTGGGTTGGTCTTGAACCCGCGGGTTCAGGCAATCCACTTGCCTTGTCTTCCCAAAGTGCTGGGATTACAGGCTGAGCCACCGAGCCCAGCTGGTGATTTCTTTTTTTATTAAGTCAGTCCTTGCCCCTGTCCCTGAGGTGAAGTAGACTCTAACAGGTGTGTTTGTAAAGGTGGAGTGAGGGCAAGAATTAAAGGTTGGGATTTATGGGGATTTCTGGCCAAGGAGCCTTATTACATACTTGACTTAAGGTGATATTCCCTGTTTATTTACAAATTAATATGTATCCCTTTGAATTTAATGATGGTTGAATTCTCTCTGATTCAGAAAATAGTTCCAAGTCCCATTGGCTCTTTTCTGCTTCAAAAATAAACATAAACAAGTAAATAACGAAGACTGGGCAAAAAGGCACTTTGGGAGGTGAGAGAATTGCTTGAGCCCAGGAGTTCAAGACCAGCCTGGGCAACATAGTGAGTCCTCATCTCTACAAAAAATTTAAAAATATTAACCAGGCATGATGGTGCTTGCTTGTAGACACAGCTACTTGGGAGGCTAAGGTCGAAGGATCACCTGATCCCAAGGAGGTGGAGACTGCAGTGAACCATGATGGTGCCACTGCATTCCAGCCTGGGAGAAGGAGTGAGACTGACTCAAATATAAATAAGCCGAGGTTTGAAACTGGTGTTGCCCTCCTCTGCCCTCTCCTCCCCTTTTGTTTGGTATCTCAGGAGTAAGTAAGACCCAAAGTGTCCCAATTTGAAGTGACTATTCCATTCAACGTTCAGGATCTCAGTCATCTGAGCCAGTTGACAAGATTTAGTGGATGAGTGACAAGGATGTCAGAGGAAGGGGAAAGGAAGGGAGAGGAGGGAGAGGACGGAAGGGTGGAAGAGCTCTCTTCCTGCTTGGCTTCCGGAGCAGAAGCCACAGCATCCACCCTGGAGAAATCTTTCTAATGAAAGATAGACAGAAACCAGAAATATCCCGCCCAAACTACTGATGCAAGTGATTTTCCTGTCATACATGGGACAGCAGATGTGTTTACTTACTGCTCTAAATAGGGAAGAGCTACTGTTCTGTGAATAGGCCGTGGCACTGAGCGTACTACCGCCTGCAGTGGAGACTCGGGTGCTCGCGCTAAAATAAAAGAACCGGAGACAGCTGGCACGGGTGCAATTCCTACCTATAAGGTACGGAGAAGTGCTCATTTTCACTTAAGGAAAATAATTCAGGCAGATGCCCAGATCCTTTTTGCTTTACTTCTGCTGTGGGCTCATTCTCAGAGCTGGAGCCTCATGGAATTTTTCTCACCCTAAAGAATGGATACATCATCCTTCCATCAGAGCCTGGGGTAGTCTCATCTGTGAGTCTCAAAAAGACGAAGCCAGAGATTCTCTGCCACGAGGGCTCTTCCTGCCCTCTCCGCCCCTACCCTCACCCCGGCTCCCTGCTACTGTGTTGTATCTTCAGATCTCACATCAGTGATCATGTTTAGCAAAGCCTTTCCTATCTTTTCATTATGCCAGTTCTTAATTTTTTTCAGAGCCTTATTTTACTTTTGCTGACCCTTACTTTTTTGTGAACTTTGTCACAAATGCAATTTTCTATTTATTCATTTAATTGATACATGCCAGTTTTTCTGGCTACCATCCTTGTTGGTGGGCACCATTCAATCACCTGTCCCTAGAACAGTGCCCGGCAGCTAGAAAGAGCTATTTGTTGTAAGAAACGGAGACAAAGCTTGGGAGAGAATTTAACATTATAGTATAATATGTGACAAAAAGTGTTTAAAACCTTACTTAATGAATTTGCATGACTGTCCTTTGAGAAATGCCAAAATTGCTGTACTCACTTATAGAGTTGACTCTATTGAGTGAGGTTCATGGAAATTGTACTCTATTTCTAATTCTAAGAGGAAGTAAGATACATAGGTGCTCTTCTTGGTTTTTATATTGGTTTTTGCCCTTCTTCTGAATGAGGCTACAGCATGCTGTCATTCTCTAGATTAGAGCTGTCAGTTTGGCACTTAGACTTTCTGTTGCATGACATCTAAGTCCCCAGTGCGCACAAATCCAGAAAGTGCTGGGAAGTGCTCTACGAGATTTTTTGTGATGACACCTTCACATCACCTGTAACACCTATAGAGGTCTGTGTGCCTCAAACTTGCCCCAAATGCCCTTTGGCCTAGGGAAGGGATTTTTCTTAGACATGTGTATAGGATGCTGAAATAATCATTCTTTATTCTCTCAACAAAAATTTCTTGTCCTTATTGCTTGTATATTATTGCTAGCGAGAAGAGGCAAAGAATGAGCAAATAGGTCAATAAAATATACAACTTAACTTGGGTTGAGAAGTGAATGATAAAAGGAAAAAGTAGGGAAAAGAAGAGTCTCAGAGGAAGTGGCAGGTTTGTACTTTTCAGTAATCAAAATATGCCGCACTTGAACAAAATTTCTAAGAAGAGCAAGCTGTACTCCTATCCCAGGGGAGTTTGTCTCAGGCAGAGGAATTACAAATGCAAAGGTACTGAGGCAGAAGCAGCAGGAGGCTGGAACAGGTGGATTGATGGAGTGAGGAGAGGCTGTAGAGGTGATATGAGATGGACCGTGCCTTGCAGGTCATGGCAAGGGCTTTGCCTTTCATGCTAAATGAATAGGGGAACCATGAAGTGTTTTTCAACAGATCTGAGTTAGAGTATAACAGTGTTGAGAATAGACAGTGAAAGCAAAAGAAGAAGCAGGGAGATCAGTTAAAGTTTAATGGCAGCAAAGCAAGCAAGAAATGGCTATGGCTTAGAGGTAAAGCTGATGGGGAATGGGTTCAAATATAGAAATTTCCTGAGCCAGTGGTTCTCACAAGATTTTTCTGGTTCCCCATATTGCTGACTGTTTCACCTTTCCATCTGACTTTTTTAAGCAAAAATATTTATTCTTGCATTTATACTTTCAATGTCATCAACGAAAAATATACAATGCCCTTTACTGAGGAGAAAATATATTGCTGCAATGAACATCCAGTAACTCACAAGATATCAGTAAATTCTGGATTTTAAAAATATGACAAGTATTTATTGAACATCTACTTTCTCAAGACCCTACTAGGGACTATATACATAATATGTTGAGAAGAAGAAAAAAGGTTTTCTTCCCCCCACCTTTATTTTACTATTGAGATGTGAGGTACAAGTCGGGATTAAGTAGGTAAGTTATCTATGTGCCGGTGAAATTTGGGCCTCCAACTGGTCCTCACTTTCCCTAGTTTAGGATCAGGCACCCTTTGTGTTGCCACATGCTCTCCCCCCTCCCTTCCTCCCTCCCTCCCCTGGCAGTGTCCAGCAACTGCTGATCCCTCCCTTGTGCTATTGTGATAAATGTTCAGGACTTGCTTATGAGTGAGAACATGTGGTATTCAGTTCTTTGTTACTGTGATAGATCACTAAGTATTTTCAAAGGGTCAATTAATGGTTGATGTCACACTTTGGTTATGTGACAAACGGCTTTTGCTTTCACTTCTACTTTAAACATGCCAATGAAGAAAAATAAAATAGAACAGTGCAATGTCTTTATACCATTTGTCCTATTTTGAATTTGTTTGTTGTTGTTCATGGACCAGGGAACTTTAAAATATAGTGTTATGCCTTAGTAACAATGAAACTCCAGCTTACATTTGACATAACGTTTTATGTTTAGAACACTAAGATTATGCTATTTATCACTAGTACATCCTCAATAATTTCATTCCTATTTTGTATATAAATGTGATCTTTGGAGAGTTGCTTTTAAGATCTTTATTTCTAAAAATGGACTGGCAATAAAAGTTAGATAAGTTTTAGATCCGAATTGAATCAATGTAGCTATGCCTCATCCTCAGTCCTTATATCCTGGGTATAAGTCATTCCTTATGAATAATTGTGCACCTGGTGGGGAGCATAATGGCTTTCAAGGGATGGAAGGAGAAATTTACTAAATGGTATTCCTCTGTGACCAAAGTAGTAACATTTTGCTTGATAGTACTCTAGTGGTATGGAAGCAGAAGTTTGCCAGGTGTTTCTCCAGTGAGCTGGAAACGCTAGTTTCCTAATTTACTATATAGATCATGTTTAAATGGCCCCAAATAATTTACTTTTTAAAAACCATAGTGAAACTCTTTTAGAAAGGAATATCCTGCTTAGTTATTCCTCTCTTTAGAATAGTTTGTGTGTGTGTGTGTGTGTGTGTGTGTTTTCAAATTAGACAGATTGCCTCTCAAATATAGACTTATGCAAAGGAAAACACTTCTACACCTTCTATAACCTGGAGTTCTTCTGTTTCTAGATTTAACTGTGCTCTAGAAATTCACCAGAATGACCTCCAGCAGTCACAACAGGGAGAAGAGCTGTGGTACCTTCTACAACTCTCCTTGAACTCTTCTTTCACGAGAGCTCAGGGCAGTCAATTTTATGAAGGCAGAAGAAAGTTTCAACCTAGATATAAGAATCGCATTTTTTAGCCGGGCTCGGTGGCTCAGCCTGTAATCCCGCGCTTTTGGGAGGCTGAGGTGAGTAGATTGCCTGAGCCCATGGGTTCGAAACCTGCCTGGGCAGCGAGACCTCATCTCTACAATAAATCAAAAAATCAGCCGGGTGTGGTAGCACATGCCTGTAATTCCAGCTACTTGGAAGGCTGAGGCGGAAGGATTGCCGGAGCCCAGCAGGTTGAGGTTGCGGTGGCCGGGAGCGGCCACTGCACTCCAGTCTGGGTGACAGAGTGAGACTGCAACTCAAAACAAAACAAAACAACAACCAACAACAACAACAAAAAGAATTGCATCTTTTTTTTTTTTTTTAGCTTCAAGAGTCATAATTTATTGAGATTTGCAAAATAACTTACAATTCTATTTCAAAATTGCACTATCTTAAAAAATTTTTTTAATTTTAAAGATGTAGGGTACATCAGTGTTAGGTATACAAATGTTCATTATGCAGGTACCCTTGTTGATGAGGTGTGCCCAGCCCCCTCCTCTGGCAGTTTCCCACTACTGCCAAGCCCACCCCTCCTCCCCTGGCCATTTCCCATTACTGCCAATCCCTTTCTTATGGTATTATGAAGAACTTGATCTTAACACTTCTTTAAGCAATTTAACTTTGTTTTGTTTGGTTGGCAAACAAATTCAAAGTAATAGAAAAATCTTGCTTCTTTTTCATTATTTGCCATCTTTTCTATAATTAATTGAGCATTTATACTTACTAGGTGCCAGGCCTAGTGGCAGTTACTTTATCCATATTTCCTCATTTCATTTCCAGAGAAACTCTAGGCGGTAAGTTTTATTTCTACCATTTTAAGGACAAGGAAATTAAGGCACAAATAAGCTCAGAAATGTGAAAGAATTGAACACATATTAGTATATACAAATAGCAGAGGCTAGACTTGAATCTAGATCTTTGTATCTAAAACATATTATCTCAACTGCTATATTGTAGCTTCCTATTACCTAAAGAGTAATGTAGACATTATTGCCTTAGGAAACATCGTAATATTGGTTCTACTGTTGAAACAAAAAAATAAAATATACTGATTGTCACGGTAAAAACCCCATGAGTGAAAGGCTATATTCACAAAATCTCTAGTATTTTCATTAGGAGTTGAGAAGATTTTTACATATCATTTTAAGACAACCCACCAAGTTTTCTTAGAGATTTCAGTAACATGCTCAGCCTGTAATCCCGCGCCTTTGGGAGGCTGAGGTGAGTGGATTGCCTGAGCCCGCGAGTTCGAGACCCACCTGGGCAACTTAGCAAGACCTCATCTCTACAGTAAATCAAAAATTAGCTGGGCGTGGTAGCGCGCACCTGTAGTTCCAGCTACTTGGAAAGTTGAGGCAGAAGGATCGCTGGAGCCCAGCAGGTCGAGGCTGCAGTGGCCGGGAGCGGCCACTGCACTCCAGCCTGGCCAACTGAGTGAGACTCCAACTCAAAAAAAAAAAAAAAAAAAATTCAATAACTATTACACTTGAAAGTTCTAGAATAGCACTGATCTTTTTTTTTTTTTTTTTTTTTTTTTTTTTGAGTTAGAGTCTTACTCTTGCCCAGACTAGAGTGCAGTGGCACACTCACAGCCATCCCAGCATCAAACTGCTGGGCTCCGGTGATCCTTCCACCTCAGCCTTACAAGTAGCTGGAACTACAGGTGTGCACTACCATGCCCAGCTGAAGTTTTGATTTATTGTAGAGATGAGGTCTCGCCAAGTTGCCCAGGCTGGGCTCGAACCTGCAGGATCATGCAATCTACTCGCCTTGGCCTCCTGAAGTGCTGGGATTACAGGCTGAGACACCGAGCTTGGCCAATCACTTTTGCAATTTTGGAAATTTTTTATATTTGTACCGTTCAATAAAGTAGCTTCTAGACATATGTAGCTATTGAGAATTTTAATCGTATAGTGACTGAGCAGTTTTAAATTTTATTTTATTTTATTCTAATTAATTTTTATTTAAACATAAATAGCCACATATTATAGGAGAGTTCAGTTCTAGAATGTCTATTGTAAGGTCATGATCAAAATAGTGAGGGGAAGGTCATGCACAGTGGCACATGTCTGTAATCTTCATACTTTGGGAAGCCGAGTCAAGAGAATTACTTGAGCCCAGGAGTTTGAGACCAGCCTTGGCAACATAGAGAAGCCTCATCTCTAAAAAATAAAATTAAATAAAAAATTAACTAGGTGTGGTGGCACGTGCATGTAGTCCCAGCTATTTGGGAGACTGAGCCGTAATAATGTCACTGCACTCCAGCCTGGGCCATAGAGTGAGACCTTCACTCAAACAACAACCACAACAACAAAATAGGGGCAAAAAACATAATTGTTGAAGGGTGAAAATAATTTTCTAAATATTACAAAAGCTGAATATTTCCAATAGTTTCCAATTATAGCAAAATAAAATAAAATGTTATTAGATTTAGAAGCAGCCAGAGGGCACCTGACACAATTACAGATGAAAAATCTTTGAGTAATATACATGGTCTTCATCTGTTGCTGCTTTGTCTGGTTATGTTTTTACAAGAGGCAATGACACACAAAAAATATTTAACTGTATTTAGTCAAGGATACAGGATGACTTTGAGGGCATCCAGGTTCACTCTTGATTTTAAAAACAAAATGACTATTTAGATTTTTGAAAAGTAAGATGAAGTGGTGTATCTTAGCAATAACAACTGTATTTTACTTATCTCTAGGCAATGGTAAGAATTACGGAAAAGACTACAAACTTATTTTTCATTTACAAAGAAAACCCAGGCTTGAACTCCAAATCAAAGAAGTGGATGAATTTGGAAATTACAGCTGCCCTCATTATAAGGGAACCATTGTCGTTTATAAGGTACCTAAAGAAAAAGGGGTCCCCAGCCTGGATCAATCCCTCAGACTCAATGAAAAGCATTATCAGTCGCCAGTTTGCAAATTGCCATTGAGATTGCCAAAGGTGAGAGATTTTACTTTTCCAATGACTGTATTTTATTAATTCTTTAAAATTCTCCACTATGATCAGCTCTGCAGGCATATGGACATATAAGGTTAAAAGGAAAGGCTAGAATAGAGTTGATAAAGAAGGAGTAGCAGATCCAATTTTAGAGTGGTAGAGTACTTCTCAGGATTTCTCTTTTCTAACAAAAGCAATTCAAATGGATCTGGTCCTCACAGTATGTTGTTAATGACTATGAAAATAATGCTATTCATTTTCTGTAATTCCATTTGAGTAACTGGGAAATGATTTGTGAAAACACTGAATACATTTCAAAGCACATCACTTTAAGGAAAAATCATGGTGAACAGGGAAAATGACATCAAAACCTTTACACATAGACTTATTAAATCCTGCATGCTTATTTCAGGAATTAATTACTCTTACCTGAAATTCTTACTCATATCAGAAAGTAGGATTACGTGATTTCTCTGCACATGTCAAACACACAAATAAACACTTTTTATTGTTGCATATACAATTTCTTCCAGTGACCCAGGATCTAGTACATCTAAAATGTAATTTTTTTTAAAAGTAGGATTTATTGAGAGAACAGAAAAGCTCCCACAGGGGGAGAGGACCCGAGGGGGTTACCTGATATAATTTAAAATGTGTTCTTAATGAGAAACATAACTGAAAACTTTATTTCATCACTCTAGAGGAAGAATAAACTTTTTAATTCTTTAAAGTAAGCTACTTAAACTCATTTTTCCATGTTTTTAATTTTTGTGTTATGACTAGCAGAAATGTCTTTCATCTTGTTAGATTTTGTACTGATTTTAAATAAATCAATAAAGTAATTAATTTAGCAAATATTAATTGTACTTCTGACATAAGAAGTGTGCTATGCTGGACCTTATAAAAAACACAGAGCTGTAAAGGATAATAAGTCCTGAAACTGTGTTGTTCTGAATGATAGTCACTATCTACATGTGGCCATTGAGCATTTGAAATACAGCTAGTCGGAATTGAGATGAACTGTAAGTTTAAGACACTGGATTTAAGACTCTTTCCAAAAATATATAAACAATTTCACTAATAATTTGTTTATATTGGTTACATGGTAAATTTATAAATTTTTGTTTGAGTTGGAGTCTCATTCCATTGCCCAGACTGGAGTGCAGTGGCATGCTCATGGCCACCCCAGCGTCGACCTGCTGAGCTCCAGCGAACCTTCTGCCTCTGCCTTCCAAGTAACTGGAACTACAAGCTTACGCTACCATGCCCGGCTAATTTTTTTTTTTTTAATTGTAGAGATGAGGTCTCACCAATTTGCCCGGGCTGATCTCGAACCCCCAGGCTCAGGCAATCCACTTGCCTTGGCCTCCCAAAGTACTGGAATTACAGGCTGAGCCACCGAGCCTGACCAGAATTTATGATATTTTCATCGTTTCAAGTTAGATGAAATATATTAAAATTAATTTCACCTATTTTTAGACACTTTTTTGTGTAGCTATTAGAACATTTTAAATTGCATGTGTGTCTCAGATTATATTTCTACGGAATAGTTCCTCCCTAAAGGAATTTGTAACCTAGCAAAGTATACAAAACGTGTGTACAAAATTGCCTTATTAGTAATTGATTATACTGATGGTGTGGACCATGTACTCATAGTGATTCAGAGGAAAGAAATGACTTTTCTGGAAGCTGAAACCAGTAGAAGTTTTTTGGTGATTGTGGCATTTTGTCAGAGCTTTGTGAGTTGGTAGAAATTCAACCAGTGGAAATTAAGAAAAAAAAAAGCAAGTTAAGATGAGAAAATGGAATGTGGTTAAGTGGGATGGCAGGCACAGCTTAACAGGACTTCATAATTTGTATAATAACCATTATAATAATTTCTAATAAAGCTTAAGGTCTTTTACATGCTTTACATGCTGGTATCCTTAAGTCTTTGCAAAACTCCAATGAGGCATTATCATTATTTTCATTTTATGGGAAAAAGAGGCCCAGAAATTTTAGGCAACTTGCCCAGGGTCTCGTAGCTAAGTAAGTGGCAAAGCTAAAGTTCAAGACCAGGAAAATCTGCTTCCTGCGTGTTCCACAACCACTATGTTGTCACCTCCTTGGCAGATACAGCTAGGATTCTCAGTCAAGATACAGGATGGATTTGAGGGTAGCCAGGTTGACTGGAGGTAATATGACAATTTTATATATGAGTATGCTATGCATTAGTGTAGAGGTAATGCTATAAACATTAAACAGATGATATGATATGGGCACCAACCCATCAAATTGACACCTTTCTTTATTATAGAGGAACAGGCTTCTATTCACTCTTTGCTTGCTAGTTTGGGGGAGAGCCCAATGTTTCTGGTAGGCATGTTCAGGGTGGCAGAGTCTATTACACCACTGATGCTGAAAATTATATTTTAATGACAGTTTAGCCTTTTAGATGGATGTCCACTATCAGTTTTGCTTCTGTGCATCTTCATTTCCATGTTAAGACCTTTGTACCACAGGGCTGTTTCCTATGCTTGGGGCCCTTTTCTCTCAGATAGTCACAGAGCTGGTTCTCTACATGAAGGACTCAGCACAGATGTCACTTGTTATTCCCTTATCTTTTTATCTAAAGTCACTTTTAACTTGTTAGCCTTTTTAGATTTATGTTATAACACTCATCATTAATTGCTATTACTAGATTTATTCATTTGTTCATTTATTTTCTATTTGTTTTTGTTTCCTGAAAACACAAGCTCCATGAGTGAAGGATCTTGTCTATTCTGTCCAAGTTCTAGGCTCTATCTTTGGTAATTAGAACGGTGCTGGGCACATAGTAGGTACTCTAAATATTTGTGACTGAATGAAAGGAGATCTTAGCTTTGAATAGATTTTTTTGAAGTTGAAGAACTATTGACTTAAGGAAATACCTAAATTCTCTTCATTCAGTAGTTTAGAGCCTAACTGTATGCACTCTTAACTGGCAAACTAAAAAATTGGTTTCGATCAACATGAAGATTTGGAGTGGAGAAGGCTGCTCTCTAGGAAGCCTGATGGACACCATGCTTCCAGAGAGCTCTGTGTTCTGTTGGAATTCTCTGGCAGGAGGTGGTTATAGCCTTCCTGGGGAAATGGCACAGACACTTATGACTGGGGTAATGGCAGAAAGGCCCCTACATAAGAGAGGACAGACTTGAAGTCCAAAAATGTGACATGAATTCAGCTTTCGGTAATAAATTAATTTGCCAAGCTAGATAATTTAGGGGTTTATATAGATTTTCCTCAATAAAAGTCTATTTTAGTGATTGTCCAGCACTTTGCATAAGTGTTTTCCACTCTCTGAGTCTAGCACACCATTCCCCACACCACTGTCCTAAGTAATTCCTACGAGTCATCCCTTACATTTTTGCCTAAGTGTGACCTATCCCAGAAATCCTTCCCCAGTCTCTCCCTTTGTACCAGATGAAGTGTACTAGTGTGTACAGCCACAGCATGCTGTACTTTCCCTATCATGGTAGTTACCATATTTCATCGTAATCACTTCCTTGTATCCTTTCCAACAGATAAGTGCTTCTCATTTCTCAACCTTGTTATCATTGACTTCCTAGGGAGTCTTCCTAGATTTGTTTTTCCCGCAATTGCCTCCTTCATGAAATGTTTTTACCAGATATATACTGTGTGCCTGCTTATGTACTGTATTTCTATCTGTGTTTTATCCTGGGGGGGCAAAAATGGATTTGTTTATAAAAAATTTGATATTTTTTCTTACATGGTTAAATTTCAGTCAGCTTCAAAGTGCTCTTTGTTTGATGCAATACACCTATTGAGATGCTTTTCCCACTGCTCAAAACAGTTTTTGAACTCGTCAATTTTGATGCCGTTTAGTGTTTCTGCAGTTTGTTTTTTTTTTTTCCCCAGCCTCTTCCACATCAGCAAAACATTTCCCTTTGAGGATTTTCTTATCCAGGGGAAAAACAAACCAAAAAACAGTCGCTTGGGGTGAGATCTGGTGAATAAGGAGGGCAGGGCACCCAGGTCATGCCTTTTTGTCAAAAACTGCTGAACACTCAGGGTGGTGTGAGCAGGAGTCCTGGTAAATCACCCATCAATAAATGGGCAAACACTTTGAAAGAATCTCCAAAAAAAATTCACTGAAGCCGAACATAGCCTCTCACAACAACACTAGCTGGTACACTGGTATATTGATGCAGATGGGTTCTTAGAACACTTACCTAGCAGAGAAAGCCTGTATTCCAAGGGGCCTACTCTCCCTCCCCTCTTGTGCAGTAAAAGGGTAAGCTTTTTTTGTTTGTTTGTTTTTGGTCTCACCTTAGGAAATATTTTCTCTCTCCCTGAGGGTTCTCTCTCCATTGTGACATTACCACAATTGAGAATTCATGCTATAGACTGTACTAGCCGATGCACTGTCCTGTTCAACTGTGCACTGACAGGGCTGGGCAGAAAATAAGTACACTTGATCAATGTTTGTGAATGACTAGAGGAACGAGATAATCTCTACAAACCTTAAAATTTCCAACCTTGAAACTGATCATCTTGAAATTATATTGGCATGTTTAAAAATAGTTCATTTTAAATGTCTGCTGCATTTCAGAGATGAATCTATTGCCAATATGCCATCTGAACTTTCTTTTTCTCCAGATAGGTTTGTATAGGGCTTTTCAGATTCACTCTCTTAGTCCTTTCTTGTGCCTAGAGTCTTCACAAATAAGTTTGTTAGGGTTGAGAAAGAACCTGTGGCTGTGGACCCTTTTTCCTTCTTTTAAAACTATAGTAACTAAATGGGAATTAAAACCGTGACCTTTATTTTGTGAGAACAGACTTCTTCCATAAAGTTCAGAATTTCAAAAATCCACCTCCATTAAGCAGTATTAGAATGTGCTATTTTTCATGAAATGGAAGTAGCCTAATATTGAACTTGGCATTAATGAACATGACACTATGCAGACATTTATACATGTATCATAAAGTAGGTGAAGGTATTTGTCAAAATTAAAAGTGCCTTA